ATTCTCTTTTGGGGGAAGGGAGTGGTGTGGGTGTAACACTATCTCTCTCGCCCAATACCTAAGATTCTTACCATCAGTCCCCCAGTCCATAACCACCCTGCATCCACGTGACAGAGTAGTTCTTCTCAGGCACTATTTTATTTATTTATTTAAATGTAATTTAATATTGCCAGAGTGATAGCACAGCTGTAGGGCATGTATTTGCCTTGCGTGCAGCCGGTCCGGCCTAGCCGGGTTCGATTTCCCACCCCTCTCGGAAAGCTCGGCAAACTACCGAGAGTATCTCGCTTGCACGGCAAAGCCTGGCAAGCTACCCGTGATGTATTTGATATGCCAAACACAGTAACAACAAGTCTCACAAAAGAGATGTAACTGGGCCTGCTCGAGCAACTCGATGAACAACAGGAGGACAGTGCTACAGGACAGTGCAACAGGCTAATGTAATTAACTTGTTCGCTTGAAGGTCACACCTGGCTGTGGGGGCTTGCTCCTGTCTCTACACTCAGGGATCACTCCTGGTGGGCCTAGGGATCGAACCTGAATCAGATATGTGTAAGTGCCTTATTGGCTATGCTATCGCTCTGGCCCTGTCAGGCACTGATTTTACTATGACTCCCTGGACCAACTGTCTCTGCTGTCTCTCTCTTCATCTCGGAAAAAGTCCAAGCTTGCTAAGTCCAGATTTCATAGCCTATCAGGGACCACATATCTTTTCCATCTTTGCTTCTGCTGCTCTCCAGAGCCCCTCTCACTTCACTCATGCACAGGACAGACAGTGCATCTGGAACCTGTTTTGCACCTCCCCCTTATCTGGAACATCCTGCTTGTCAGAATCCTGTTCAGCTTGTCAGGCTTGGCTCACAGCTTCCTCTACAAACCTTTGCTTCAATTTATACTCAGAAGTGTCCAGATGACTTTGCATGGGAGTGAATTTTTCTGGTGGGTGGTTATGACAGAAATATTTAAGATAATGAGAGGACAGGAAAGAGGCACTGGCCAGGGGGTGAATTCTCAGAAGAATCCAACTGTCAAGTTAGCTGTGAACCATCTTCCAGTTCTGACGCAAGGCTAGAGAGCACTCAATGGTTGGGAGCATTTTGCTTGCAGGAGGCCCAGATCAATCCCTAGAACCATACGGTCTTTCTGAGCACCACTAGGAACGTCCATTGAATACTAAGTGAGGAACGAGCCCTAGAACACTACTGGGTATAGCCCTCCATCCCCACAAAGTAGTCATGAGATGTACTTTTGAAAATTCATCTTGGGACACCAGAGAGATAGTACAATTGTAGAGTGCTTTTGTATGCAGACAACCTGTGTCTCAAACCTGGCACCTTGGCAGTCCCCTGAGTACTAACTATCAGGGGTGATCCCTGAGTGCTGAGCTAAGAGTAAGCCATGAGCACCACCGGATGTGGCTCCCAAACAACAGTGACCACCACAAAATTCCTCAACACCAAACTAGATTGATCCCCAAGCTTTAAATAAAATCAACTTTATTTAAATTAAAAATTTTAGTTGTTAGGACCTTGTAAGTGGTGGAAGTCTGGGGACACCCATGTATGGTTCTTGGCCTCTAGGACTGTGATTCAATGCAAGGACTGTAGGATGCAATACTGTTCTGGCCCTGCAGTGTTGGAATTAGCTGGGTCACTCTGGCAGTGTTGGGGGACCCAGTGGTGCTTGGAGGACCCTGTGGTGTCAGAAAATGAATCCAGTTGTAGGCATACCAAGATGCTCCCTAACCTATCTACTATCTCTGACCCCCAAATTACCTTTATTAACTCAGAAATATCAGTGAAGAAAACTAACCTGCATTTTCAACAAATATCATTTGAGATATTTTTGAAATAAATATCTCAAATGATAAATATTGAGATATTTTTGAAATAAATATCTCAAATGATATTTATTTCAAAAATAGTAATATGAAGGCAATTTAAAAAATTATCTTAAGTCATGTTAGTTTGGTAGCCACAGAACATCTGTGGGCTAAGGTTGCTCATCACTGTTCACTAGTGTAACTGAGTATCAGGACTCAGGATCTAAGTACAGAGATGAATCCAGAGGAACAAGAACTCTGAGAGCACCCTTTGGCCTTCAAGCAGCTAGAGACCTTCTAGCTGTCAGCCTAGATCCTTCTATGGCAAGAAGGCGGATTCCCATGACATGCCGTTATTTATCTTACCTCATCCAGTTTCCTTGAGTGTAACTACTGTGTCTTATACTCTTTTCACCCTCTTCAGGTGAAATGCAATGACTTGCAGAGTGGATCTTCAAGAAATTCCTGTTTATCCTGTTTATGAAGAAATAGTTTGAGAGAAAGTGACCTCACCCATCTGGGCTAAATTTTAATGATCTTTAAAACAATACACCTACTTAAAGAAAACATGCCCAGGGAATGTTCTAAAACATTTCCTCGAATGTGAGGTCCTGCTCCCTTCACTCACTGGCCCTACTGGACTCGTAAGAGTCCCCCCTATTAATAGGTGTGGAACATACGAGGTTGGGGCTGCTTGTGTGAAGTCTAATCAGAAAGTCTCTCAAAGGCATTTGCTTATACAAAATATGTACTTAAAATATTTCTCCCATCAATTCAAAATAGTGCCCCCAATTTTTGCTACTTCTCCTGTTTCTTTTGGATCAAGAAAAGTCCAAAAGTGGGCAATACTGCCTCCCAGAGGTGCTGGAATGATCTAGGGGTATTACTTTGGGTACAGTGGGGGTAGGGCTTTCTGTTTAAAGAAGGTAGATTTGCAGGGAGTGCTGAATAACATTCCCCTTCCCCTCCCAGCCCCCCGGAAAATAGGATGGTAGGCCAGATAAGTTTGGAGACTTCTGGATTTCCTGTTACTGGGAAGAAAAAAAATACAATTTTATTATAATTTAATGACATGAACTCTGATTAGCATATCTGTTAGGCCTCCCATTGTTCTGAACTCACATAGTATTTAAAATACACCTCTTTTCTTGTTTTATTGGGCCATATCAGATGGTTCTTGGGTATATTCTGTACTCAGGGAGCTCAGCAAGTACTTACAATTACTTACTCCTGGTGGGTTCAGGGGACCTTATTGGGTGAAATGGATCAAACCTGGGTTGGTCACATGTAAGGCAAGCATCCTGCACACTCACCATCACACCTTTTATTTTTACATGCACCATAACCTACTGGAATTATCTCTTTTGCTTTTGTTCAAGTCACTGGGAGATCCTCCAAGCTATCCCCAGGACCTCGAGAAATGTCAGTCTGGAACAACGTAGTGGAACCTGAAAATATTATTGAAAGCTGAGAGTAGGAGGGATAGAGTGTCTGTCTTGCATGTGAGATTCATCAAGTAAGAAGCCATCTGCATTGCTAGAATTGAGTAAAACCACAATGGTAGGTTGAGTACCAAACCGTCAGACCTACACTGCTGGGAGTATTGCTGGCAGTGGTCCTTGGGCCTACTAGAGATGCCCCTACTTTTAGAAAATAGATATAGTTGAACAAAATTTATGCATTGTATTCCTTCAGAAAACCCTGGAGGATTCTTAAAGATGTATCTAACAAAAGTAAGTGAAGGGATGTGGAATCTTTTTTAAAATTTTATTTATTTTGCTTTTTTCGGGTCACACCCGGCAATGCACAGGGATTACTCCTGGCTCATGCACTCAGGAATTACTCCTTGTGGTGCTCAGGGGACCATATGGGACACTGGGAATTGAACTCGGTTGGCCGTGTGCAAGGCAAACACCCTACCTGCTGTGCTATCACTCCAGCCCCAGGGATGTGGAATCTTGCAGTAAGGAAATGTTCTATGAAATACAACTGTTTGGTTACCTTCTGCAAGGTGTGAGAGATGCACCAAATACAAATCTGTTCCTGTCACAGTTTGGTCATTCACAGTTGCTTTTGAAGGTGGGTAGACTCTGGCTCCACTAAAATGAAGAGAAGTACTCTCGATAGTCAAAATACACTTTCAGGGACACACCCAATCCTAACCTCTTAATCTAAAGTTCCCTATCCCAGAGGTTGACCCTACTTCCTGAGGACAGGACTGCATGAGACACCTTTCTGTTGCTCTTCAATCCCTGTCTCTGAGTTCCATATGCATTAGGAACACAATAGCTGACAATTATCAAGTACTTACCAACGTGCCAGTAAGCATCCATTCTTCAAAGTATATTATTTGTATGAATTAATTCAATCCTCAGAATGATGAGGCATTATTACCTCCATTTTATAGAAAGGAACAGCAAAGCACAGGGGAATTTTTGTCATTTTGGGGGAGTGGAGTGATCTTGGACTGCAGCTGGCTGTGCTCAGGACTTTCTCCTGGCTCTGCACTCAGGGATCGTTCCCTGCAGGGCTCAAGGAACCATATGTGGTGCTGAGGATCAAAGCCAGGTCAGCGTGTGCAAAGTACCTTACCCAAGGTACCGGCTCTCTGGGCCCCAAGCTTATGTTTTTCCCAAGATTAGGTAGAGTTCAAGTACGGGCATTTTAAGATCGCTGTCCTTGTACATTTAAATGGGAGTGAAGGGGGAAAAAAAATCTCGGGGCTAGAGCAATAGCTCAGCGGGTAGGGCGTTTGCCTTGCACGGCTAACAGAGGTTCAATTCCCAGCATCCCATATGGTCCCCGAGCACCGCCAGGAGTGATTCCTGATGGCAAAGCCAAGAGTAACCCCTGAGCATCGCCGGGTGTGACCCAAAAAGCAAAAAAAAAAAAATTCTCACCACGCACTATCTGCTCTGAATAGTCACAGCATAGGGTTTGCCCCTTCTGGCCTAAACACTCAGGGCAGAAACTCCAAGCCACTTCACCGATCAACTCAGGGTCATGACTTTGAGTCACCTTCCCTTCCTTGAGCTTGTTTTCCCGGCCGCGCCTCCACGGACACCAGGGGGCAGTGTGCGCGCGCAACACTCGGGCCCGGGTGACCCGGGAGGGGAGGAGCCAGCCGTGGGCGGGGCCACCAGGCGTCCCCGGAGGCGCTATCCCGGCGGGCCGCGCGCGCGGCCGCGTTTGAATGGCCGGGAGTGGGGCTGGGCGGCGGAGCCCGAGGACGCGCGAGGCGGCTGCCGGGTGTCTTTCGTCAGCGCCAGCGCTGGGCTGCGGCGCCGCGGTACCATGAGGCGCCGGTAAGTGCCCGCCGGGCCGGGCTGGGGCTTCTCCGGGGGCCGGGCCGCGCCCCGGGCCCACCTGCAGGCCCCGGGGCGGCGGCGGCGACGGGGCGGCGGGACGGCCGGGGGCGGGGCGCGGGGGCCCGGGAGGCCGCGGGCTCGGGCCGGGGCCCCGGGCCGGACTGGCTGGGCGGGCGCCGGAGGCCGCGGCCGGGGCCCGGGCGGGGAGGGGCGTGGACGGAACGCGCTGTCAGTGACTTTGTGTTCGGGTGGAGCGGACGGGTGCGCGGCGGGGTGAGGTTCGGCGGCGGACGGCGTCGGGCCGGGGCGTGAGGACTGGTTTCTCCAGGGCCGCCGGGCGCCTTGCCTCTGCCTCTCGGACCGGGCCGCCGGGGAGCGGGGCACGGCGAAGAGAAGCAGAGCTGGACAGAGCTGTCTTACGAATAGGTGCAGCTGCCAAATCATCTTCGTGCTTTTTTTTTTTTTCCAAAGTTTTGCCTGAGCAGTTATTTAGGTGCGGTTTCCTCCCCCCACCCCGCCCCCTCCCGCCCCCACACCTTTTTTCCCCCCTCACTCCACTCTCGAATATGGGGAGAACAGTCGATTGGTTTCTTGTGGCTGATCAGTTTCCTAGACCAAGCTCTTGAAGCGTGAGAGGACAGTCGTCCACTGGTTACTTGTGGCTGATCAATTTCCCAGACCGCAGAGGTGTCCCTGTCAAGTTTCTTTGCCGGAAAAACTGTAACATATTCGCTCTTTTGTAACCTCAGTGTAACCCAGAAGCTGCTCCAGCGAGTAGCTCGAGGGAATAGTATTTTCTGGTTCTGTATTTTACAAAAAGACCAGCTTCGGGCTCGAATCCGAATTTGAGACGCCGAGGCATTTTACTTTCGTGGATGATGTTCACGGTGGTTGCCGTGTATTTTGTGCTTCCTACACGCTCAGCACTGTTTTGAGAGCTCTGCTGTGGAGCCCTGTCTGTTGTTAGCTCCACCGTGACCAGGTGGCACAGAGTAGTCAAGTGATTTGTACAAGGTTACACAGTGAAGGCAATTGGCACCGAAGCTTAGTGCTGCCCTTCCGCCTCCTTTACATGTGGCTCTTTCTACTTTATAGGTCTCTTTCATTTCAATGACTTCTCTCCACTGGGGATATAATCTATATAAGTGACGTGTGTTTGTCATACAGATATTCACAAGCCTTTAAACTGCGTCCTCTGCACTTATTAAACCAAATTTTGTGCACTGAGCAAAAATAATTGGATAATTTAGTGAAAATGGAGTTCTTAAAATTTATGTTTGGTTTGGGCTTAGAGTTTTAGTTGCTTTGTTAGTGTACAAAACAGTTTGAAACCTATGTATTTTAAAATATGAAAACCATTATCTGTTAGTATTTCATTGTGAAGACTTACTGATACTCTTATTGTGTAAATTCTAAGGAGTCTCTCCATGATGAGGAAAAGGGCTCAAAAGCAAAGTAACTTAATGTTTTCTTTGGGTTTATTTTGGGGCCACACCTGGGTTCTCAGGGCTTCCTCCTGGCTCTGTCCTCAGGGATCATTCCTAGGAGACTCAGGGAACCATGTGGGGTTCCGGGGATCAGACCTTAGTGGTCCTACCATTTAGACTATCACTTGGGCCTCAATAAGTTCTTCTTTTTTTTTTTTAGAGCATTAATGCATTTAAATTTCACTCATTTGCAATTAAACATTTTTTCTTTTCTTCCTCTTTTATTTTTTTTCTGGATGGGGGAATGAATGTTCCCAAGCAGTGCTCAGGCTATTGGGGGCCATTCCCTGCAATTCTGGGCCTTGGGTTTTGGGAACCTGAGGACCACACCTGGTGGTGATGGGGGATCTCTAAGGTTACACCCAGTGATGCTTGGGTGCAGTGGGGTGGGAAAGCATGAGATGCTGGGGATCAAGTGGGGATCTGCACTGGTACTAATCTATTATTAGACTCATTTATTAAGCTTTTGATCACCTCTGTGTCCAGCACAGTCAGGCCTAATTGTCTATACCAGAGAAATGTGGCAAAGAAACAAACTACTTAGATGTGGTAAAAACTATGGTGGTTTCCATATGGAGCGAAAAAGGAAAAAAGGTGGAAGGAATCTTTTGGGTAGTGAGATGGCACTGAAACTTTGCTGAAAGATGTGGTGATAGATGCATACTTCCAGAGGTGTGAAATTACATCTTTGAAAATCTGTATTGTTAGGGCCAGAGAGATGGTACAGTAGGTAGGGCTCTTGCCTTGCATGCAGCAGACACAGATTTAATCCCTAGCACTCCATATGGTCCCCTGTGCCCACTAGGAATGATCCTTGAGTGAGAAGTAAGCCCTGAGTACAGTCAGCCCCAAAAAGAAAAAAATTATAATGTATACCCAAGAGAAAGAGGGGTGGGGTGGGGTTCGGAGGCTAGTTCATTTTGGAATGTGAGGTAGTTCAGTTTGGAATGTGGGATTAACAGTGAAAGTATTTATCAGTGCTTCACAATGGGGATACATGTGGGGTCCCAGGATATTCCAGTAGCAGGCCAGGGAGGGTCACAGGAAGGAAACTGGGTTGTAAGGGGGTATAGAAAAAGCTTGAGAAATGCTGGAGTACAGGATATTCTTTATTTAGCTGATAATTGAAAGGATCAATAAAGCTACAAATAACTGACAATTTAGATGTAACGCATTGAATTGAAGTGGGGATGGGCAATATATTTGATTATTATTATTTTGTTTTTTAGGTCACACCTCATGGTGCTCAGGGTTTACTCCTGGCTTTATCAGGGATCACCCCTAGCAGAGCTCAGGGGACTATATGGGGTGCCAGGGCTCTAACCCAGGTTGGCCACATGGAAGGCAGATGACCTGTCCGCTGTTCTAAACCTGGCCCCAGGAATGGGCTGTGTAAGTGAAGAAACAGTATGTTTTAAAAACTTGGAACTGAGAATGGAAATGATTATTTCCTTTTGAGGCTACTCCTGGCTTTGTGCTCAGGGGACCATCCGTTGCCTATTAAATATGAACTCTAGCCCTTGGAGCTATTTCCTTGGCCTGAAATGGTTTTTAAAATTTATTATTATTATTGTGGGGTTCTTTGTTGGAAGCCATACGTGGACATTCTCAGAGGCTGCTTCTAGCTTAGTGCTTAGGGAAGTTACTCCCAGAGGAGGACCTTGTGGTGCCAAGGATTGAACCTCGGCTCCCTGCATGGGAGCATGCATTTAGCCCATGAAACTGTCTCTCACTCTGAAAATAGTTTTCTATGGAGCAGTAAGTCTGTTAAAAAGGCCCGACTGAGAAAAAAAATAAGATTATGTGGGCAAGACTGTGACTCTATGAGATGTGTTAAAGTTTAGGATTAACTGTTATACAGAGATGGCGGGACAGATTGGGCTCTCGTGTTGGGAAGCAAGAGGCCTAAATTCATTATCTTGAAACAATGTGGTCTCTCTGAGCACAGGGCCCTGAGTTCATCCAAGCACCACCAGGTGTGAACCTCAAATAAAAAGGACCAAAACAAACAAAAAAGGCATGTTTGATGTATATGTGTATTAGCAGAAAACAATATTATTTAGGAGGGTTTAAACTTTTCTGCAGGGGAGGGCCACACCCAGTTATACTCATGGGTCATTTGTTTTTCTGCTTTCAGGAATCACTCCTGGTGGTACTTGGGGGACCATAAGGGATGCTGGAGATTGAATTCGGATTGGCCTTGTGCACAGCATTCTACCTGCTGTGCTTTCTGGCAGCCTCCCTGGAAAGTTTAAATCTTAAATGGATTTCATCTCAAGCAGTTTAGCCCACTCCTGAATTTATTTGGCTTTGTTACAACTGGGAATGGGGGAGTGAGGGAGGTGGTATTGATGTGGATGAGCCTATATAGGGCAGCTCCACAAAAAACTAGTGCAGTGGGTAGGACATTTGGCTTGTATGTGGCCGACCTCAGTTCGATCCTTGGCATCCTGTATGGTCCCCCGAGCACTGCCAGGAGTAATTACTGAGTACAGAGCCAGGAGTAACCCTTGAGCATCGCTGGGTGTGACCCAAAAAAACAAAACAAAACAAAAATTACCTCGAATGTCAGTGTTCTGAGGTTGAGAAACTGATTTGGCTTTTGTTCACTTTTTGGTGCTGGGAGTTGAACCAAGGACCTCACTTCTGAGCTACAGTATCCCTGGCCAAGGCTAACCTTATTTTAAGTTGACTTTTAGGCAGCCTTCTGCTTTCATGAGCTGTGGAATGATAATCTGCAGTACATGAAATTATACTTTGACTTCAAGTATGAATAATGAATTTTAGTAGACTGAGTCCAAGCAATATTAAAGTTTGGGAGAAGATGGCTCTGAGACTTGAGAAGAAGGCTCTTGGTTGGAGTTCTAGGGCTTTGAAGGGGTAAGCTGTAAAGAGAGAGGATGGGAATAGTGAGAATAGGCAGATTATGGCAAAATAAAATATTTAACTTATGTTTTCTATGTTTTAAAATAATGCTTATTCGTCACAGGAAATTCAGGAATTGAAATAAAAGTGGAAAAAAAACCAAACAAACCATTTAACTCCCACCTTCTCCCCCTAAGCAGAAAGAATAGTTGCTAATATTTTCATGTAGTGGTTCCTTTCATATCTTTTTTTATGCTGATAACTATTTTTCTTTTTTTCAAATGAAACCAGTATTGTACATTTTTCTCCCTGTGGGTGGGTTTTTATTTTCTGACAGTGTGTCATTGCCTATTCTTTGAAAAATGTCATTTTTAATGGTCATAGAAGTCTTTGTGTGTGTTTGTGTGTGATTCTTTGAAACTGGGAATTTTGCTTTATATTCTAGACATATTTTGGAGGAGGAAATATTAGACCATGATGACTAATTAACCCCTCAGAAAACAGTGGAGATAATGTACATGGTATCTCCCAGGTTTTAATCTGGGAAGCTAAAAGAATAGTGGAACTGCTGAGTTAAATTGGGATTCTTGCAATAATTTTCACCATAGGTATGTAAACTACCATTCACAGAGACAGACAATGAAA